ATAACCCTATATGCAAAACAGAAAAAGAGACTCAGATGTATGGAACAGACTTGTGGACTCTGGGAGAAGGAGAGGGTGGGATGTTTCAGGAGAACAGCATTGAAACATGTATATTATCTAGGGTGAAACGGATAACCAGCTCAGGTTGGGTACATGAGACAAGTGCTCGGGCCTGGTGCACTGGGAAGACCCAGAGGGATCGGGTGGAGAGGGAGGTGGGAGGGGGGACTGGGATGGGGAGTACATGTAAATCCATGGCTAATTCATATCAATGTATAACAAAAACTACTGTAATGATGTAAAGTAATTAGCCTCCAACTAATAAAAATTTAGAAAAAAAAAAAAAAGAAGAAAGGAAATAGCGAGGCTTAAATGGAAAATACTGTTCTCAGTTGAAGTACAGAAAAGGATGTGTTACCCAGAAGGGAGGCGGTCCACACGTGACCCAGGAAAAGGAGCTCAGGGCTGGATTAGAGGGGGTGGAGGGGACAGCTTGGGATGGCAGAGAGACAGACCCTACAACAGCGGGGCACTCGTGGACCGTGGCTGCTCTACAACCCCAGTGAGAGGTTATCCAGCAGGTCCCTCCTGTCTGGACTCCACTCGCGACCTGGCACCCCGGGCCGCAGGACTTATCCGCGTCTCCTCCCCTTCCTGGGTAGCCAGCTCCACGAATGACCCGGAGCCCCCTTACATGTAGGTGGGAATGTGTGATTTATGGGAAAGAATATGAAAAAGAAAATGCATATACATGCATAATTGAATCACTTTGCTGTACATCAGAAACTAACACAACACTGCAAATCAACTATAGTCCAATAAAATACATTTTTAAAAAAACAATATGGGGAAAGATGAAAAAAAAAAGTCACACACAAAAAACCATTACCCTCTAATGGAGAATTGGGTAAAGGGCATAGAGAGATAATTATCTGAAGGAAGAATCTAAAAGGCCGATACATGCGGAAAAGAATGTTTAGTCTCTCTGGTAATTAAAGTAAGATTGACTAAAACACAGTTAAAAAAACCCCACAAAACTCATGCTGCTGAATCTCCTAAAAGCCATCAGAAACACCGTTTTGTGAATCTATGTACCTCATCAGTTTGAATGTCGTCATTTCTGATTAACTGTCTAAGAGCACCCACGTGGTCTGCCCCTGCGCGACATCTAGGCCACACATCCCCAGGCTTGCTCTGCTCCACTTACATGGGTCCCCTTCCTGTTCTCCAACAGGCTGAGTGCATGTCTGCCTCAGGGCCTTTGCACAGCTGTTCCTTTTGCCTGGAATGTTTTTGCTCTGCCTTGCCCCAGTTTCCCCATGATTGCCCCTTCCTGGTTATTCAGACTTCAACTCACATTCACCTCTTGTAAGGAGCTTTCCCAGACCCTCCCTTTATCACCATGTCATCTCCCAATTTCACAGACAGCAGAGAAGAGATCTCAGCTCCTTAGGACACATAATGCTTCCTTCCAACCTCTTGTGCTTATCTTAACTCTCTGGTGAAAGCTTCCTGCCAACAGGTAGATTCGTATGAACCAAACATGTATGGCCTTTCTCACCCCGTGTTTAGAAATTTCATCAATGGACACACTCTCCCTACTTGAAACAGCTGCGAGGGAAGCAACTTGGAAGCCACCATCATCTGATAAACGAGCCATGATATTTTCTTTGGAAAACACACTTACCTACAACATATTACACAGATAGACTAAAGCATGCTCAATAACACGTTCAGAGAAGCACCAACACTGGGTTGGGTATGAACACTGCAGAGGCATCATCCCGTTTTTCTCCCTGACACAGAGAGAAGCCTCTAATTGCAGTTTCTCCCTCCATCTCTGGACAGTGTCAGGACAGGAGTGCCCCTCAGCAGAGGGGGAACAATCTGGCAGGCTGGGAAAGAGCACTGACATCTAGCTGGAACTCCCAAGTCCCCATCTGCAAATCCACCTGGAGTCAGAGTTGGCTTGGTCTTGAGAAAGAGCATGGGGCCTTCACTGCGGAATGTGACGGTCACCAGATCCCTGGCAGAGATAGCGTCATGTGCTTTGTGTCCCTTCCTTCAGGAATAAAATATTTTGCGTGCAAAACAAATCCGCAGAGCAAGAGTTGGTGAATTAGGGCCTGTGGGCCAAACCTGGCCCCTCCGCTGTTTTTGCAGAGCCCGTGAGTGAAGAAGGGTTTTTACATTTTTCATCAGTTGAAAAGTTTTGAAAAGAATCATAAGTGTCATGACATGTGAAAGTCATATGAAATTCAAATTTCAGTTTCTATACATAAAGTCAGACTGAAAGAGCCACGTTTACTGACCCTCCATCACCTGTTGCTGCTTTCAGGACAACACAGCGGAGCTGATGACGACTGTGATGGAGACCATCCAGGCCACAGGGCCTAAAGTGTTTAGTATCTGACCCTTTCCCAAAGCTTGTAGCAGCTCCGTCTGAGTCCTGAATGTCCCTATGTGGGCCTGGCCTTGAGAAGACTTGGCCAGGAGAATTTGTTTCCCCTCAATGCGAGTATTTCCACACCTCCTCTGCCCTGAGACACAGTCCCAGTGGCCGAGGTCACCAGCAGAAAATTCCACTTACGTAGGATCCATAATCCACAGCCAGGGTCTGCAGTGCCCAGGGGAGGCCGAGTCCGATGAGGATGTCAAAAACATTGCTCCCGATGGAGTTGGACACGGCCATGTCCCCCATGCCTGTGAAGACAAGAGGTCACTGGAGTGAGGAAGGTGGTCCGTGGGGGGTGTCCCAGCCCTTGAAGACTCTCTCCAGCCCCTAGTCTGACAGCCAGAGACCTGGTGGGCAGGTGGGCCAGCCCAGGTGCTCGGGCTGTCCCAGACCATCCATCACTGTAGGATGATTCTGATTATAAAATAGTCACTGAATACATATTTTCAATAAATAGAACGAAATACACATTCTATTGAACTGTTGAGCTTTACTTCAAATATGATCATTGATTAAATGTAATTCATAAAACAATCTGGTTGCAAAAATTCTGAAACATTCTGTGGAAAGGAATAAACTCAACAGTCTATAAAGGGCTCATGAGTTCACCGACCCACACAGTTCAGTGTCATTACCCATCTGCTCCACGCCATATCCGAGTCTTCTTCTAAATAACTGAGCAACATTAAGGAAAATAATGTAACCAGTAGAATTTTGTGAGGACCAGTGGAGGACACTTTGCTAAGGGTGGCAGCTACACACTGCTGAAAACCAATCTCCTCCCACATAAATCAGGTTCATAAACGAGAGTAGGTGCTTGGAGGTACACGGCCATCTGGGGGGCTCCCACCCAGGGGTGGGGAGACTGTGATCTTGCTTTTGAGGGTGGAAGGGTCTGTTACACACTCAAGAGTAACATCTGGCAGCTGGTGCTTTGAGAGGTTCTGCAGGGAGTAAATCTTAGGCTACGGGGTCCATCCTCTCTAAGCTCAGTTTCCTCATCCATTAAATGGGTATATGACTGTCCCTAATTCATAGAATTGTTAAATTAAGTAAGATCACGTGTCCAAATTGCTCTGTTCGGTGTGGGGCTATCATCAGCAGATGTCAGCTATCACTGTATTTCTTACTATTTTTAATAATAGAAGCAATACAACCCCAGAGGGGATGAGGGGACACGCTAGTATATGGGTCTCTGCCTTTCTCGAGGGTGGATCTTCTGGCTTGTTTCCCTGTTATTCTGATGCCAGGAAGCCTTCTCACCAGCCTGGCACTGAGGTGGCTGGTGTTCCTGCACGGCTGGGATGCGGTGCCCTGGTAACTGCCGTGTAAGCTCCCCCTGCCCCCCAAAGTAGGGAGGCCTGGCTTCCCTTCCCAGCCCTCCCCATGCGGGCCCCACCTTGTCTGGCCACAATGAGGCTGGCCATGCAGTCGGGCACGCTGGTTCCAGCTGCCAGGAAGGTGATCCCCATGATGACGTCAGGAATCCCCAGCGTGTAGCCGATGATCGTGACCTGGGGGCGGGTGGGGGGAAGGGAGGGAGGCAGGAAGAGGCCGTGAGCGGAGGGCCGATGCCAGCCCTGCCTGCCTGTCGACCCTGTCACCAAAGCTGAAGAGTCTGCAACCTGGGCAGTCTCTCTAGGGGCAGCGTCTGCACTCCGTGTCAAAGACAGAGGCCTAGGAATGTCTCAGGGAATAGAGAGGTGGAGTTACAGAGCCCATGCTTTCCAACCAAAGACTGGCCTTTTTCACATGTTCCTTTGGGTGAGGCAGGCAGCCTGAGAGAGCAGAAATAGAGTTGCTGGAAAAAGGCAACAGCGGGACAGTTTTTGAACTCAGGATGTTCCTGGGGACCCAGAATGGATGGCTGCTGTGCTGTGCTAGGAACTCCACTGTCCACGTCTCAGGTCGGCTGCGTGAAGAGACTTTACAAGAGGTGGGAGGGGGTTGAATGACACCACCCAGTCTAGTAAGAAAAGCCGTCAGCTTTCTCCCCTCCCTTCCTGGCAGCTTGGGAACATCATCTCTGCCCACATCACCCTCTGCTCCATGGTGGCTTACCTCTGCCTAGAACTCAGGCACTTTAGTGTAACTTACTTAACTCTCACTAAAACCCAGGGCATAACTACTGGTATTATCTCCATTCTCCAAGCGGCCTTGGGGTATCCTCTGCCCCAGACATCAGGCCCGAGGGCATGGGCAGCACCTCTGTGTACACAAGGGGAGGGGTTAAGTCAACACCAGAGGCAGTGCTTCTATTCTGTAAATGAGCTATTCCGGCTCCCAGTTTTCAGATGGGCAAACTGGGAGGACAGCAGTGGGTGAGAAAGAATGACCAGGGGCAGGTGGCACGAGTGAGTGAGTGGAAAGAGACCCGTTCTGGGTACCCTGGCCTCAGGAGAGGACAACGTGCAGGAGCTAAACGTTAGGTCATTGTGGGATGCGCCCACCCCTCATGTTCCATAAAATGGCAAGAAACGCAGACGGCATGTGGCCAGTAGCCCACTCCTGCCAGCTCCTCCAGGATCCCTGCATGGGAGTCTAGGCTCACTCCCTCCCCTCCAAAGGTTTGGGGGATGTTATTTAAATCTGCTGGGATGTCTGGCTTGGTGTCTTTCAAGCAGAGGCTGTGTGCCTCATTTCCGCCCAGTGCTGGGCTAGATTTACGGTGGCCTCGGGTTCTCTTCCTTCCATGCTCCAGGGAGGAAAGGGAGGCGCAGAAACACAGCAGTTTCTTGTGGCTGCTCTGGAGCCTTTTGTGCAATGGAGCTGCAAGTGTCCTGCTCACCCATGTTTTTCTGTTCTCACCCTGAGCGGCGTCCCTGCACGAATTGGTTTTGCTCCGTGGGGCTCAAGCTGGGAAGAGGACCCTGTCCCCGCTGTTCCTGTGGTTACCATGGTTACAGCCAAGGCTGGAGTGCTGGGAAGCTATTCTCCAGGTGTCTGTACCAGGTCCCAAGGGTTTCTCCTGGTCTCCCCTTCCTTCCGGCCCTTTCCCAGGGCTTCTCCAAACCTCCCCCAGAGTGGAAGGAGGCAAACAGGAAGACAGTGAGCCTACGATCAGTCAGCTACTTTGCATGTTAGTGGACTTCAGAGAAAAACCACTGGACACTGGGAGGTCAGGGATGCCAATGCTATTCCCCAAAGTTGGCACCCAACGGGAAGGTCAAATAAAAACGGTAATGGACACAGCATGAGGGAGAGACCCCTGCCTATGAGATTTGGATTGAAAAAAAAAAAAAAGTCTGTGATGTTGAAGGCAAGGGATAACTATGAGTTAGTTGTGTCAGGTTTACACATTTGTTATTACCTCCAAAATAATCTTTCCAGAACTTTTTTTGGCTCTTGAGTTTAATTCTCCAGCATTTATATTTCATCTCTACCTGATGCTCAAGCACAATTAGATCTACATATGTCATGGTTTTTAATTTCTTCCCAATTCCAATTATAATGAATTAGGGCCACTCCCCAGTTCAACTCGAGCATCATTCATGGGCAGTGAGTACACTCTGGGTTTCCTAGGATGGCTTTAGGGCAGAAATGCTTTTGAGCGAAGGTCCCTCAATCAATGCCAACTCTTGAATCATTGTTTCAGCTTCAGAAGGGACCCTTGAGCATTCACCTGGTTCAGTGACTTCATTTTCTGGTTGAAGAAACTGAGCTGAGATGGGGAGTGACTATGACGGATGGAGTGTCACTTCTCAGGCCTCCCACCTTGCCTCCATGCTGGCTGCCTGTGACCCTGCAGGTCTTCCCACCAGAGCGGGTGGGGTGTATGTCCCCCACTCCACAGATACTTGGCAGATGGAGGGTGGGTGGAAATCTCAAGCCAAGGCCCCAGAAGGCCCCCATATTTGCCTTTGCCCTCCTGCATCCCAGTGACCCACTGTGAGAAGACACTCCCCAGGTAGCCACTGGTCCAAAGAAAATGGGCAAACATACAGCAGACACGAACCCCACCTGCTGCCTGAACCAAAGGCAACCACACTGGAGATGAAAGCAGACTGCTTAGCTGGTTCCCAGTAAGACCAGTCACCCACAGTCTCCCTGCCGACACATGAGCAGGAGGATGAGCTCTTCTGATTCTAAGCCACAGAATCTAGGGCTGGTTGTCACACAGTGTAGGGCAGCAATAGCTGGCTGATACGGTGACTGGTCTAAAACCTCTGCCCTGGCTCCCCTCTGGTTGAGAGTGCTTCTCTCTGGAGGGACCCAGCACCCTGGGGTCCTGGACTCACCATCCACACCATCATGTAGGAGAAGGCTGCAATCCACAGCGTGGACGAAGCGAAGGTCACCATAAACCACTTCTCCCAGCGGGGCTTGTTGCAGTTGGGGACGGTGAAGTACAGGACGAAGCTCAGGGGCCAGGTGAACGCCCACTTCACTGTTTCCAGTTTGCCAGCTGGGAAAACAACAAAGGCAAAACAAACAAACAAACAAATCAGGTGCATTTTTTGGCTCCATCCTCAGCATGAGTGTCCCCAGACATTAAGCCTGACCGTGGCTCTCCTTACCGCAAAGACTCCTTTCCACCAACAACAAGACCAAGAGGAATAGAAAGTGCCCACTTGTTGGCAGGCCTCAAAATGACAGGATGTGTAGCTTCTGAGTAATACAGAGCTGAGGGGGATGGCTTGGCAAATGGAGCCAGGTGGAAAAGGATGCGGAGGATTCTCAGGATACAAACGGGGTGCAGGGAAGAGTGTGGGGTTGGGCTGGAGGCAGAGGAGGGGCGGTAAACACCACCAGCCCCCTCGCAGTCCTCCCCGTGGTTAGGCAGCTACATCTTCCCAGAGTCTAAGGGGGTCAGCAGACACAGCGCCACCTAGTGGAATTTCTCAACATCGTCCGACAACTTGCGGAAATTTTGATGGATGATGTTAAAGCTCTCCAGGTTGCCAAAGCGTTGCTTACTGTTTACATCCCAAGCTGCTATGGATTTGCAAATTCATAACTGCCTCCTGGCTCTATCGGCCTGCTGCTGTGGATAAGATGACGGATCTGTTAGTGATAACCTGTCCTACCATCTCAGCGGCCTGAGTGATGAGTGCCAGAGACAATGGTGACTGTTTTACCATGAGTTCTTGTAGCCTCAGATTTGAAAAACCCATCAGCTCTCCTCTGGCCACGACTACCATCCTGCTTAGTGGCTAAACGACAACAACAACAAGCCATCCTGCATTAAGTACTAACTCACCTCTGAAAAGAAGTATCAACCAAGATCTGCAGAAAGGTCTCTGTGCATCCTTTCTGGTCAACTTCCCACCCCCTACCACCATAGAGGAGTTCTTTCTGTTCTCCACCTTCAAGTAAATAAAATCGTACAGTATTTTGTTTGTTTGTTTGTTTCTACCTTCTTTTATTCAACATAATGCTTTCTGAGTTTCATCCGTGGATCGGTAATTCATTCTTAATTGCTATGTAGTGTTCCAGGCTGTGAATACATTGCAGTGAGACTGCATTCTCTTGTGTCTGGGATTTGGGCTGTTGCCAGTTTTCAGGTATTACAACTAAAGAGGCTGTAAGCTTTTCTGTGTCAATCTTTTTGTGGGCATGTTTTCATTTCCCTCGGGCAAAGACCCAGGAGTAGAAATGCTGAGTCATAGGGTGGGTGTTTTTTTAACTTTATGAGAAACTGCTGAACTGTTTTCTAAAATGACTGTTCCAGTTTGTATTCCCACCAGAGTTGAGGTATTTTTAAAATTACATTGTGAAAAGTGATGACTAAAATGTTTAACACAATTTATCTTATAATTGTATACCAGCATCCAGCACTTATTTTATACATCTTTCACCAGTCTCCAAATATTTTCTTAGAATTGCAGTTAAGTTACATGACATCACTTTTGACCCCTGGTCTCCCTAGATTGCAAGGTGGTCTCTAGCGGGAGAGAGGGGGGGCTTTCTTATCGTCCCCATTCTGTCTGTTCTGTCTGAATTGAGTGCCTCAGTTATTTAAACTCCCTGAGTCTCAGTTTCCTCGTCTGTGGAAGGTCCATGGGGTCACAAAGAGTCAGATACAAGTGAAGTGACTTAGCACTCCCACATGCAGACATACAGACACATACATGATGCATGTGTGCTGTGCTCAGGCACTTCAGTCATGTCTGACTCTTCACCACCCTACGGACTGTAGCCTGCCAGGTTCCTCTGTCTGTGGCATTCTCCAGGCAAGAATACTGGAGTGGGTAAGCCATTCCTTTCTCCAGGGGATCTTCCTGACCCAGGGATCGAACCTGGGTCTCTGGCATTGCAGGAGGATTCCTTACAATCTGAGCCACTGGGTAAGCCCATTATATACTATACAGCATATTAAATATATATAAATATTTGTGTATTAATATGCAACATATCAGGCCTTCTCAGGTGGCTCAGTGGTAAAGAATCTGCCTGCTAATGCAGGAGATGTGGGTTTTGATTTCTGGGTCAAGAAGATCTCCCGAGGAGAAAATGGCAACCCACTCCAGTATTCTTGTCTGGAGAGTCCCATGGACAGAGAAGCCTGGTGGGCTATAGTTCATGCGTATGTGAAAAGAGTTGAACATGACTAAGGATGCACACACAGATGCAGCATATTAAATATATACAGTATATAGAAAGCATGTTATATGCATGCATCACATCAATCATACATGTGCACATGGTATATATGTGCACACACACCCATATTCATGTACACACACGTATGCATGCATGTCCTATACTCCTCTATTTGTATGCTCCTACACAATTATGTACTTGTTAATGATACACACTCCAGTCAAGCCTCAGTGGCAGAAACATGCAAATCCAGGTCCCTGCAGGATTCCCGTGGGAGGGAAACAGAGCCCCACCCAGTGGCCCAAGTGTCTTGGCCTGAGAGGACCCTCGAGTGCCCTCTGCTGGCTCACCGCTGCGAGGAGGCAGCGCTGCCCAGGGGAGGCGTGGCTGGACACTCAGCCCCCAGTCCCGGCCTTGAACGCTGTTTCTCCGCAGCTGGTGCAGCGGAACAGGGGCCCACTCTCGGACAAGCCCATCCTCTCTCCAGGGGCAGAGCCAGGTGCTGGCCTTGCTCCCCGGTGTGGCAGAGGAACGCTGCGGACGGCTGGGGGACCCCAGGCCTCAAGCCAGTGCCACCCAGCAGGGGCCCACGGACCAGCAGCATCGGCATCACCCGGGGCCCCACCTGGATCACCCAAGTCAGAGCCCACCCCAAAGATGCCCACAGGAGAGGGGCTGGCGAGGGGGGACTCGGTATCCCACTGACTGCCTCAGCAGCTCAGGGCCCCGGGGTGAAGCTGAGACCCCCAGGGGTGGCAGGGCCACACAGCGCATCCGTTCTCCCTGTGGGGCTGTGCTTCCAAAGGAAGGAGGGTGCCTGACGTGGGTGCCTGAGCCCACACCTGCAGCCGTGCCTCCTAACGTGTGGGGAGACCCTACGGCCTCCACATGTGCACTGCAATCCTGGGGTGAGGGTGGGGAGCAGGAGTTCAGGATACCCCGAAACTTCACACTTAGGCCTGGAGGTACCGCGTCCAGGGGAGAAGCAGGGAGCTCGTGACCCGAAGGGGCCCTTCTGTCCCCCTGAGTGATGCGGTCTGTATGCTCTCACACCTGTGACTCTGCTGTCTTCCTGGAGGAGTGTGTGTGGGCTCCTGGGCCCTGGGGCCAACACAGCGCCCGGCCACTTACAAACTCTTTCATCAGGGACGACGTCAGCCAAGTGGGCATTCTTGGAGCGAGGTTACAGGGCTGATGGTGAACTCTGCAAACAAGGGCTGGGGAGGGGGTGGAATTCCAGACACGGCCCCCAAGGTCTGTGCCCCGATTTTCAGAGCCTGTGGGGAGGCTGAACCACCACCCCTGACTGCGTTACACTGTGAAGCAGAGCTGACCTCCAGACAGGGAGGTCATCACTGGAGCCCTCGCGAGCGGAAGAGGAGGCTAGAACCACGAGCAGGGTGGGGAGGACCAGACACAACACACGCAGTTCGTTTGAAATAAGATGCCATGGGATGAAGAAGACGGTGGCCGTGGGGTGGGGAGCAGCCCCAGCTGTCAGCCACAAGGAACCAGCAGGAACCACCCTGCTAGGAACCTGAGTGTGCCGGGGCTTCTGGCAAGGACCGCAGCCCTGGCCCCTCATCACTGCCCCGTGAGCCTCGGAACCCCCAGCCAGGCCGTGCCAGACTTCTGACCCCCAGAACCTGAGCTAGCCAACGAGTTTAAGCTGCAAGGCTTGTGCTCATTTGTTACAAAGCAACAGGAAATGAACATGAGGCCTTACAAGGGAGGAGTGGGGGACCAGTCATTCCATCCTTAACATGTTTTTGTCCTGGTCGATGGGAAGGTTGCCAAGAAATGTCACCAAAGGTGGCAAAATGGATAAGGAGCCAGGATACATTTTTACTAACAAGCGATGACTCAACTTTGGGTGATTTGGGGTCTGGGAATCTGGGTGGTGTTTTCTAGTTACTTTTGGTCGGCAGTTGACCAGGCTGAAATCTCAGGAACCCTTCAGGGACCCCGTCTCCCCCCGAGCTTTACTGGCTGGACACAAAGAGGGGCCCCGAAGGATACCGCATCCGAAAGGAACACTCGACCGTGACACTGCACCCATGTCTCCTTGTTAAACGGCCTTTCAAGTGGATCCAGCACTTCCTCCTCAGAGCTGACAGCCCCCACTATGTTCCAACGTTGCAGGGAAGACACACAGGCTAATTAAGCTTCACATACTTGACAGTGAATATGAACTGGACCAGCAAACACTTTCTTGAAACAGAAACTTCTGGAAGGTCGGGCAGACAGGCAGAATTCTTTGGATTTGGTCCACCCCTTCCACTAATGGTGGGGCTGGAGGACAAGGCTGCTGGCTCAGCTGAGTCTTTACTGGAGGCAGCAGTCGGCGGACAAGGACACTGCCCTTGTGGCCGGGGTTCTGAGAGCTTACCAGCCTCTGCATGCGCCCTGACCTGTCAAGAAATGGGGAGACCCCTGGGCCAGCCCCTGAGGTGTGATTCGGGAGCTCTCTGCCCGAATCACATGTCTGCGTCTCCCATGGTGCCCACCCTAGAGACAGCAGGTCCTGGGACCTGGGCCCCCAAGGGCTGCCTTGTCAGGACAGTGCCCCGACCAACCGTGAAGGGGTGGGTAAAGATGCGGGAAGCCCCTCCCCACAGCACCAAGCCACCTGGCCAGCAGGGTCCCAAGGAACCACTGACAGAGCCTTCCTCCTCCAAAGGCCTGCATTTCAACCAGGCCCGAAGGTCGCCAACTTAGTCATCTTTGGACCCGCTGTGAAAGAATCTCACCCACTGTAAAAGTTAACACAATATAAATATTCCTACGGCCATACAGACAGTCCTTGAATTTGGTATCAGAACGGTCACCCGGTCAAACGCATCAAGTCAGTGGCCTCAAAACAGCTCTGGACCCCAGCCCACCCAGCCCGCCCAGCCCCAGCAGGGGCTCTTACACGGGGGGTCAAAGGGCGTGTATGGCCCTTCCTCATCCTCCTCGTCCTCCTCCTCCTCATCGTTCTCGTTATTCTCGTTGTCCTCATTCTCGTTCTCCGTCTCGTCACCGGCCTCCGCGACGACCTCGTCCCTCCGCGTCCCGCTCATGCCTCTGTCCGGGGCGCTGCTGGGCCCCGTCCCGTTCTCCACCGTGTGCTTAATCGGGATCTTGATGGCCACCTCGGACTCTCCATTGGCATAAGCCCTGCTGTTTATCAGTCTCTGTCTCTGGAGAAGGAAAGGCACGTTCTAACACAGAATGCCCCCAGAGGGGCTGCAGATCCTCTCACTCAGGGCCCTAGCTGTCGGGATTTTCCCAGGCTGCTGACAAGGAGATGCTTCCAGAAGACTCTGCAGACAGGTTCTAAGGGACTCCTTAAAGTAACAACCAACTCTGATAAACTTTCTGGGAAGAAGGATCACTCTTTCAAGACCCTCTGGAACTTACAAATCCCTTTAGAGGGGAGTCCCCATGTCTCAAATGGGCACTGCTTTTCTAGCCTTTGCACTGTCTTGTTAATGCTCCTCGCCAGACGGTAGCAATTCCCTGGATATGTGAGAAAGCCATAAAATGTATCAGATTAGGATCAACAAGGCTGCCATTTCAGAGAAAGGCATCCCTGGGAAAATTTGGATCAAAGACTCTGCAGTACCCTAAACTAAAGGAACCTTGACTTAACAACTACTTTCCTGCAAGTTCACATCCGGGGGCTTTATTCCGATGGAAGATAATGAGAAGGTAGGCAGAAGGGACAGAAGAGTCTTTCTACACAGCTGGGAGCTGGGCTACATCTCTGGACACGTGGCGGGAAGAGCAAGGACCAGGATGCATAGCTGAGCAAGAATGTTGGGGAACAGCTGAGGGACATTACTGTGTAAAACACTGAGGCAGGTGCTTTTACCTGCAGACTAGGGAACGTCCTCCCTGCCCAGTTCCCCACCCCGGCTGTGGCAGATGGACTTGTTTTCTCAGATACCTCATTGATCAACATGCGACTGGCCATGGAGAGTCGGGTCTTGGGGGGGAAGTGGCTGGTGATCATGATTCGAAGACCAGCCTCAGAGAAAGAAAGCTGGTGTGGGTAGGCCGACAGCAGCTCGTCTACCATGATTACTGATGCTTTGCGGTGGAAATTGGCTAGGAAAATTAAAAACATAAAACAAAGATAGCGTTGAGGCTAGGAGTGGGAAAGAGATAGTCACTCATCTTCCTTCCCTTCCTTATCTTTCTTGCTCCCTCCCTTTCTCCTTTCTTCCCCCCTCTTCTTTCCATCCACCCATCTGCCAACCCACCGACCCTCCCACCCATTGACTCATCCATCCATCCACCCACCCATCCAGCTGTCTCAAAGGGTTGTGATTAAAATTTGAAGAAGATTCAAAATCCACTTTCCATGGGCTCATCGATACTTCCTTTGAAATGACTTGAAACAGTTTGAGTCCTTCTCTGACAATAATAAAAATAAGTGATAACATAAGAGAATTTTCCTTTCTCCTCAAAGGATTCTTTTCCTGCCACTAATATCTGGGGCATAGGAAAGACCCCCAATTGTCTTTAGTAACCCTTTATGCCCTTTAAAAATGTCAAGAGTGTTCATAGTGGGCTGTTAAAAGCTGCAGGTTTGATGCTAGTCCAAGCAGAGGACATGGCGGGGATGCAGGGCTGACAGGGGGTGGGGCGGGGGGCAGGGAGCTGGCCAGCTTATAGAGGCTCAAGTCCAGAGGGTGCTTAGGACAAATCTTGTGAAATGATCTGCTAGCAGGCCTGAAGAATACTTCCTCCACGGCCCAAGCTCTTCTGCGTGGATGTTGCAATGTGAGGACACAGCTCACGGGTCACAGCCTCACTCCTGTTCTCCAGGCCACTAAACCGTGAAATGATCTCTGGAGACACTGACTAATAGTAGGTGGCTCTCTTTGGTTCTCTAAGAGTATTCCTTTTATTGTTATAAACTACCCTGCAGAGAAGAAACGAAATGAAATCTTTATGTGGGATAGCGCTGAATACTCAAAAGTCTTTCATTTAAAAACATGGGTATAATTAGTGAGAAATTAGTATAGTATAATTAGTGAGAAAACGACATCAAATAATTGATTTTCAAATTCTAATAATTACCCACAGATTTCAAACTGAGATATGTACTTGGAAATAACCTATAGATTTTTCATTTTCTTTTTTTCCTTCCCTGAAAAGGAAGGAAATGGGACTGAGAAGAAATAAACCCACACATTTCAATAGGAAAGTTAAAAAAAAAGTTAAATGAAAAGGGAAACACATTCTAGGCAAAAGTAAATGATAATTTTCTATGTTCCTCTAAGAAAGAATATTATCAGAGAGCATTGTATTATTTCTCTTTGAATAGGAACTGCTTACTAAGCATCTACTGAATATCAGAATTTGGGGGAATGATTGAGTGACTAACACTTTCACACTTTCAGGGCTTCCCTGGTGTCTCAGACAGTAAAGAATCTGCCTGCAATGTAGGAGACCCAGGTTCGATCTCTGGGTCAAGAAGATCCCCTGGAGGAGGGCATGGCAACCCACTCCAGTATCCTTGCCCAGAGAATTCCATGGACAGAGGAGCCTGGCAGGCTACAGTCCATGGGGTCACACAGAGTCGGACATGACTGAGTGACTAACACTTTCATTTTCTTTTCTATGTCATTTTGCAGCTGGGAAACTGAGGTAATATAGCCTGAAAGTGAATTCAGATATAAATATACACTGATAACAACTATCATTAATGGAGTATTTTACATACTTTATCTCCTTAACTTGTTACAAAAATTATCCTCATTTTACAGAAGAGAAAAATTGAGGCTCAGAGAGGTTAAGTAACTTGCTCCAAGGTCACATGGCCAGAATGAGAGACAGTCAGCGCCTTGACACCCCTGGTGTCTCCTTTACCATCTTGTTTCTCTGTTATCACCCCCAGCACGTTTGGTCCAAGAACTTCCACCAGCTTCCAGAGGCTGCCCATCACCAGGATCAGCCTGTTCCCGGATGAAGCCAATGGGAGGGAGTCGGGGGCCGGGGCGCTCCCTGAGGCAGGCACGCCCTGTGGGGCCAGTGGTACCCGTTGCAGCCCCGCAGTGGGGCACGGCCCCAGGGTTACCTCTCTTGAGTAGCACCACGGTTGCGTCGCAGTTGCCGCTGTCGTCCATTTCGGCGTTGTTGGCTAAGCCATTGACCATGTTTCCGGCCCCCTTGGTCCTCCTCTCGAAGCACTGGTGTATGCAGGCGTTGTATCTGGACACGGCCAGGAGCAGAAAGAGCCCATCAGCACTGCCGCCCCTCCCTCCTGGGCTCCTGGCTCCCCAAAGCTCCCCCAGTCTGGACACGGGTGCAGGATCTGGTGCCTCAGGTTAATATGGTTACTGTTTTATCATCCTGTTTTCCCCAGGATATTCAGCCCATTTCCCCAACTTGAGGATATATGGTAAGTGAAAATAAAACCAACATCAGACAGATAAATAGGGACACACTGCTTTCTCTGCAGTCTTTCATGTCAGTGGGGGAGCTCTGGGATTGAGTTCCCTACTCATGATCTATGTATGGATGTGAGAGTTGGTCCATAAAGAAAGCTGAGCACTGAAGAATTAATGCTTTTGAACTGTGGTGTTGGAGAAGACTTTTGAGAGTCCCTTGGACAGCAAGGAGATCCAACCAGTCCATTCTAAAGGAAATCAGTCCTGAATATTCATTGGAAGGACTGATGCTGAAGCTGAAGCTCCAATACTTTGACCACCTGATGTGAAGAGCCGACTCATTGGAAAAGACCCTGATGCTGGAAAAGATTGAAGGTGGGAAGAGAAGGGAATGACAGAGAATGAGATGGTTGGATGGCATCACCGACTCAATGGACGTGAGTTTGAGCAAGCTCTGGGAGATAGTGATGGACAGGAAAGCCTGGCATCCTGCAGTCTATGGGGTGACAGAGTCAGACACGACTGAGCTACTGAACAACAACTCGTGGTCTATGCATGGAAGGGCTGTGATGAGGCTCAGATGGATGAGTAAAGACTCCCTCCTCTGGGCCATGTCCCCAGGGCGTTTGCTGTCAGGGCCATGCTGGGTGGAGGAAGGTCAAGGTGTCACATCCGCCTGTGCCGCTAGCATCACAGTCCATGTGCCCAGGTGGGCTAACTGTCGAGGTCTCTGTCTGCCTTTGGTTTCCTGAGGTCACAAGCTGGGATCCAGGGAAAGTCTGTCACTGTTGTGCCATAATTCTAGGTCTGTGGGGCTCTTGGCTTTATGACAAAATTCTGGGCTATGTTTCTTCAGAGCGATTGAGGGAAAGAATCAAAACACTGTGCGGAGTTTCTCCCATGTGTGTTGGAAGGAAGGCAGCTTAGTCAAGTTCCTGGGATGCTCTGGCAGGTACTACTGTCCTGGTCCCTTTATCACTGGTATTAGAAGACTCCCATGGAGGAATCCTAGGAAACTCAGGGGCAAAGACAGCCACCGGGCAGAGTCTCCAGGGCACTGTGGCCCCTGCTGCTTTTTTCACTAAGAGACTTAAAGGTCTTGATGGTTCACTGACCATGGGACAACCCACTGAGGGGTCCCACCAGCTTGGTCTCTGGCCTTCCACAGAACGGCACCCAAGCATTAGACTCTAAATCCTGCTCACATGCCACTCAAGCTGTGTTCCCCCTCCTCTTCTTCATCCCTTTTCCTGCTACAGACATGAGGCCCCTTGGGGGCCCCTTCCCACTGCATCCTGTGTCTGTTCGTAGTGCAGCTCTGGGTGGTGGGCCTGCCATGGGGATACAGGTGGGGGATCCTCTAAGGCTGGGCCCCTTCCTGTTCACCCTGGGAACTTATAGTGCTTCCTACAGGCCTGAGGGAGAAGAGAAAGCTAGTCTGGAGGGATGGTGGCAGCCGTGGAAAGGGCAGTGGGCAGGCCCACTCCCAGGGTTTATAATCTCAGGGCTTGCAAGGAATAGAATGAGAACATGACTATTCTGCAACGTGATGAAATGATGGAGCCAGATACTGAGGATCGGCAGCTGCCAAGATAAAGGGAGATCCAGGTGTCTGTTGGTGCGACTCTCCACCACTCTGGACACAGTCCAACCTGAATGATATCAACGGCTGACACGGGGGCAACACAGGGGCTGGAGGAACAGCCCCCTGATTACAATCCCACAGATGTAATCAACAACATCCATACTGTGGGAAACTCTGCAGAGCCATCAATCAGATTTCATTCAAGAATAAATTGCAAGGAAAAAAAAAAGAGGGGGAATTTATAAACTCAAAGAAATCTAAAATATGGAGCAACCAATAGTGATGAGTGGAATTCATTTGAATTCTGCTTTTTAAACTATTCGTGACATTTATGAGGGAACTGAAAAAATATTTATGAGGCCGTTGAGAATTTGAACATTGGATACTGAATCATATTAAAGAATTAGCATTCATTTTAGGTATGATCATGATAGTGTGGCTGGGTTAAAAATGAGTCCTTTTAGAGGTTCGTACTGACGTTTGGGTAGATGAATTGGTATGATGTCCCGGGCTTCATGGGGCTTCCCAGGTGGTGCTAGTGATAAAGAACCCTCCTACCAATACAAGAGACATAAGAGACGTGGGTTCAATCCATGGGTCAGGAAGGTCCCCTGGAGGAGGGCTGGCAATCCACTCTAGTACTCCTGCCTGGAGAACTCATGGACAGGGGAGCCGGGCGGGACACAGTGCAGAGGGTCACGAAGAGTTGGACACGACTGAAGAGACTGAGCAGGCAAGCACTGGGGTTTCAGATCATGTGGAGGGAGTGACACAGCTGCCAGTGCGGGGGAGGATGCGAGTCAATAGTGGGGGGACTCGTGGGGAGCACATGGGGTGCGTCATGCTATTCTGCTGACTGCTCTGCAGGTCAGCACTCTTCACGGCAAGGTCTCCTCACCCTCTGTACCCCCTCCTGGAGGAGCTCCAGGGAGAGGCACTGTTTCTGTCATCTTGATTTAGAATCCACTTTCCCCCAAGAAATACCGACTCTCCAGGGGATTTGCTTTAAAAGTTCACAACTGTGTGTTGTGTACTTATTTGGATTTGGATAATAGGATACTACTACTATGTGTTGCATCATTATGAGCACTTTCTTGGAACTGGATATCAGTTAATTAAGTTAACTATTCTATCACATCCCATCCTTATAAACAGCCTTTCAGGTAGGAAGCATCATTCCTTCTGTTCCTTGAAGCAAAAACTGAGATTCAAAATGCTGGAACCACCTGGCTCAGTTCTGCAGCCAGGGCTGCAAAGGAAGCACCTGATCTTAACGACAAGCCCACACTGCCTCATCTGGGGACCAAATCCCAGCGAAATGACCCGGAAGGGCAGAAATCAATCCTCACCAAGGTCAGGTATGCTTCAGGCTCCCTTAAGGCTTCCACCTATTGGGCCAAACCAGAACTGCTTTTTGACCTTCAGACAGAATGTTTAAAAGTCATTTTAAAGCCATCTATCCAGGAAGCAGCTGACAATTCTAATATAGGCTGTTTTTAACGGCTGCTGCTGTTTTATATTTTTAATTGAATGTTTTAAATTTTGTGCTTGCACCCTAAAGCTACTTTATTGTGAAGCATGCAATTTTATAAATCAGATTTTATAAAACCCAATGATTAAAGCCTCTGATTACTGAGGGGGATGGCAAAAGAGCAGAGATTTCAATTTAGAACTTGGGACCAGAATTTATGCAGAAAATTTCACGAGCGCAGTAGCTGCCGTTCCCCACTTTATTTGTATCCTGCTGGTCTGAACAGCTGGGAAGCTGGTAATGCTGACACATCAGCAGAAACACACCTCATTAGCTTTCACGTTGGACTTGGCTTGGGGTAGGGAAATTGTTCAGTATGTTCTTTTCATGTCCACATGCCCTGCCTACAACTCACAGATGTTACGATGGCTCAGGAGAGGGGTGTGGTGGTTATGGAATGCATGCTGGCAAAATTCTTCAATCTTCCTTCTTTTTAGATAAAAAGAACTTTCTGAAGGGCTCCTTATTCTGTACAGCCTTTAGTGAATTCAGTATGGGATGTGCTTTCATCTAAATTCAGATTTTAAAACACAAGATCCATGTTGGTCTTATAGCAAACACTCAGTCAGTTCTCCTGGAATAATTAATGAATTCACCTTTCCAAAAGGGAAGATGAGAGCTCTTGACTCACTGGGGTCTCAAAGCATCAAATGTTAAAAAAAAAAACCAAACACTTGAAATAAAAAATGCTGAAAGAAGACGTGTATTATTCAGGCTTCCTGACGGTGGCATGGATTCCCTGATAGTTTTGCTCTTTGAGAGAAAGAGAAATAAATCGGCTGCTCCTGCATTCAAAGGCATTTCCTTGGAGTCTAGAAACTATGGAAAGCCTTTGGGCCAACTCGGTTTTCTTATGGGAGCTGATGTACTAGGGTGTGTGACTTGTGGGAAAAGCACCTGGTTTTGTCATCTTACTGTGATGTCAATTACCATCACGGCAATTCCACATCAGGATAACTTTGGGTGAAGTTCTAGTCTAGAAATAGTCTCGTTCAGTCACAAGATCCAGATGCTGGGTCCATGCTGACCATGGACAGCTCCTGAGGTGAAAACTGGGCATCATATTGGGTGCAATGGTGTCAAATGGCTAACAGCCTACCCCAGCCATTGGTCAAGCCAGCTCCTGCCTTCACTATTCCTGTGACATTGGCCAATGGCCACACTGATTTCTCCCCACAGGGTTCTCAGCCACCAGAATTAATTTTTGTTAGGCCTCAACAGCAAAGAAAACTTGATGTGTCAGTGGCAGACTGCTACTGGATGCATCCACATCAGCGATTTCTGGCAGCAGTCAGACAAAAGGACCTTTTGCCAACAAAGGTCCATCTAGTCAAAGTTATGTTTTTCCCAATAGTCATGTATGATGTGAGAGTTGGACTATAAAGAAAGCTTAGTACCAAATAATTGATGCTTTTGAATTGTGGTGTTGGAGAAAACTCTTGAGAGTCCCTTGGACTGCAAGGAGATCCAACCAGTCAATCCTAAAGGAAATCAGTCCTGAATATTCATTGGAAGGACTATGCTGAAGCTGAAACTCCAATACTCTGGCCACCCGATTTGAAGAACTGACTCACTAGAAAAGACCCTGATGCTGGGAAAGATTGAAGGCGGGAGGAGAAGGGGACGACAGAGGATGAGATGGTTGGATGGTATCACTGACTCGACGGACATGAGTTTGAGCAAACTCCGGGAGTTGGTGATGGACAGGGAAGCCTGGCGCGCTGCAGTCCATGGGGTCGCAAAGAGTTGGACATGACTGAGTGACTGAACTGAACTGGCAGTGGTCTGCTGTCCTCCCTCTAGAGGAGGCGGTTACTCCTGCAGTCACATGGGCTGGGGGAGAGCATGGGCTAATTCGAAGCAAATGCAATTGCTCCCGTGGGGGCAGGTGGCTGCAGCACAGAGTATCTCTGCACTGTTTACAAGCTCCTCATCTCAACGGTCCTTGTCAAAAAAGATGACCCAGCAGGTTTCTGACCACGGTGCTTACATCAGCAACATAACTCCTGATACAGGTGGCAATCTGTGCAGACTCCATGGGGAAAAAAGAATGCATGATCTGGCAGTCTAAAACATGTCCACAGGTAATTGACTCTCCTCTCTTGGAAAGGCAAGGAGTGAAGACCACAGCGACTCTTTTCTAACAAATAGAACACGGCAGAAGGGATGGTGTGTGACTTGTGAGGCTGGATCATAGAAGGTGTTGCTGGGTCCTTCCTGCCCTCTCTTGAATCACCTGCTCTGTGGGAAGCCAGCTCCTGGATATGGGGACACCGGAATGGTCCTAAGGAGAAGCCTATATGGTAAGTTTTGCCACCTTTCTTATTATGAAAGAGAACAGCCAAAAACTAGGCTGCCAGGTCCTGAAGAGGGGCAAGGGCAACATCTCTCTGTCCACATCACATAACGCTGAGTGCAGGAAAGAGTCTGGGGAGAGAAACTGAGCAGGGATCTTACTTACTTCATGATGACAATGTAGATGAGATACATCAACACGAGGACCAAAGACTCCCACCTGTGGACAATCCAAGAATGGTTAGTTAACGAAGCCACCAAGGCACATGTGCCACACCCCCGACTCCCTTACACGCTCGTGTGATGCGAACAACAACTAAACCTGCCAAACACGGTAAGGAGGAGGTAGCCACGAGAATAACATACACACAGTCCCTGATCTGTACACAAGTCCTAGGCAGCACCCAGCTTTGGAGGATCTCTTCCTTCCTCCACTCAAAAGGGGAATGCTTCCTCTTCTCTTATTTGCTCACTCCAAAGAGTGCTTTGAACACAGCAATAGGACTCTGTGTATTAAATCTGACCACAGCTTAATCATTCACTAAAACAATTCAGATACAAATGGCAACCTGAAGGAAATGACAGGAGCAACCAAGGGACTGGTAGCTACATCGGAGTAAGGCCTGCTAGATACATTAGATACAGTGGGAGCTGGAGACAGAGAAGGAGAGAGGGGAGGGAGGGAGAAGACAGACAGACAGACACATATGGGTCAGGGAAGGTGCTGTCAGAAAGGATAAGAATGAACAAGTGGGAGAATGGTCAAGGGAAAAATAATGAAACTGCTGGAATGTACCTTGAAGTTTTGATAGTTTGAACACTTCCTCTAGTTTATTTTAGTAACTTCCAGTTAGAAAACAAGGAACTTGATTTCTAGGTTCCTCTTCAGGTGTAGAATTTAATTAGTTAATTGAGAGCATCATTTTTGCTTCAAGAAAAGGTTCCTGAGGGATGGTCTATGGAGAAATGTTAGGTTATGGCTTTCCTGTGTGCTTTCAAGTTCCATGTCTAGAAACTGATCCTGGAGAAATTTGTAGTCAAACATGAAAAGGATGCACACACAGGTTCCTGCTGCAGTGCTATTTTATAAAAATGCAGTGTTGGAAAGAAGCAGTCATCCAACGAGCAGCTGGCTATGTGAGTTACGGTGAGTCAGGCCTCGCCATGGGCCACCACCCATGGGTCAAGAATGATTCTGCAGATACTGTATGAGGCCATTATAGACACAGTGCTGGTGATGCTACTGAAAGAAATCAGGGGTCCAAACCACCTAAAGTCTCCTGAAAGAGGCTAAGGACTGACACAGACTTGCCATGAACCTGTTTTCACTTCCTCCTATGTGGTTTTCATGAGCAAGGCCAGGGAGATGAGAGGGGGCTCCTTCTAAGACCATCAGATGGGAAACCACCTGTGAATCTCCTTGCTTCAGGTCTTCTGCACAAACGCAGCAGAAAGATTTCTGAGGTCAAGTGTGATCATAACTTGTTGTCCTTATAGCAGCATGGTTAGCAAACAGCAGCAACCCTGAGCAACACTTAGGCACCTGCTGTTTGCCGAGAGACAGTGCTGGTTGTGTTAACCGTGCCATGAGTTCAAGTGGCAATGCTTCTGCAAGTTCTCTTGTGCTGCGCTAAATCTCCAAGAACATGAGGGGACAATATCACCATTGCATACAGTAACCAGGTCCAGGTGGATCCCACGAGGAGGTTCTTCCCTGGCCTTTGAGCTGTGATTCTCCCAGGCATCTTGATCCCTTTCAGCCCATTGATCACTTATTCAAAGAAGACTTCTTTCCTATTTCTTATGGGTCAGTATACAGACCATGTGTCTTAGAGCAAACTCTCCCAGATGTCTCCCCCTCGCCCTCTTGGGCAGAGGAGAGAGAGCAGCAGAATACCTTAATATCCTGAATAGTGTGTAACATTTATGGTCAATGTGATATGTCCCCTGACACCTCGAATTCTGAAATCACAGTGACAACCTAGGGTGCAGAGGTGTCGCTCCTGCAAAGGGCTAGCACTCATTTTGCTGAAAATGAAGACAGCTGGGCTCTGTATTTTTTTATTTTTACTTAAAAATGATATAACCTATTATTATTATTTGCATATTCTTTTCCATATGGTTTACTATAGGATACTGACTATATTAGCTCCCTGTGCTATAGAGTAGGAACCTATTATTTGAACTTTTTTGCTACCTCATTCTTAGCTTTAAATAATACCATGCAGGCTGCCTACCTGCAGCATCACAACTGCCTGTTTCTGAGAAGTTATCTCAGAAAAAGTAGCTGTATTTTCACATCACTCTACTTCCACAGATCAAATATTTGAAAAAGGGAACAAGAATGCACAACACACCCAATTTCTGTTTCCATTACAAACACAGCTGACATGCTCAGAACTCATCTCAAAAAAGGCAATTTGGACATTGACCCAAATGCAAATGTTCCCATATACTTAATTTGGGCAATATTTTTAATCTATCAAGAAATCACTGATTTTTCAGAGCTCCAAGTTTATCTTGAATGTTAGGCAGAATTTTAATAGGTTAAAGGTCATGGAAGTGCCTCCACCTCTGGCTCCTGTGATAAATATGGTATTCAAAATATGGCAACGTGGTCTGAACAACTGGAAAAGGTTCATCAAATCTTGTCCGTGGCCTTGCCCATGGTTGACTACAGAAAAGCACAGTTAAATCACACCGTCTAATCTGGATGAAAGATGGCGGGATAATAGCAAAGGAAGCGCACTAGCCCAGCCCAAGGGAAATGGTTTCTGCTCCGTTAAAGCTGGTTTGTTTGTTGAGATGGACTCAGGGTTCCCAAGAAGTGCTAGCCGTTCCAAGCTGCCCTGACATTTCCCTTTCTTTCCTAAACTCTGATTCTGGTTTTTAAGATACTATCTCAGTAACACAGCAAGGGGAACTTAGAAGGGGAAGAGAGGTACTTACCAGGAAACTTGTTCATCATAAATGAACTGTGAGAAAGAAGATTAAAAAAAAGAGAAGATTAGACACATACAAACATGCACACGCATGCCTTATCACTGCATGTTACTTGCCCTTGTGGTTGGTTGGTGGGAACCAGGGCTGGGGCTGGTTTGGAGTCTGAAGCATCTGTGGGCACCTCAGTGGAGGGAGGTCTGCTGGCAGACTGGGGTGGGCCTGGTTCAGAGAACAGAGCATCAGCCCATTTTCTGTCTGAGGGTGGAGTGAGAGGGAAGCCCAACCTTGTTATTTGTAGAATTTTGGATCTGGAAGGCAATGCAGAGCTTGGTGGGGGTATCCAAACATTAGCCACTTATGGGCCGCCTGGAAGCTGTCTGCATGTCTCTGTGCCTTGTACAGCACTTTCAAGCTCTTATGTAAGCACCTGGGTGTCTAGGGACTCACTATTTTCCAATCAGTCAACCTACTCTTTCATTTCCTCAAAAGAACTTATTTTCAAAGAAAATTTTGCATCACAACTGGAAGTGGAGAATCCACACCATGTGTAGAGAGAGAATAAAAATGCACGCAGTGACAACAGTGAAGATCCTGCCTGGACGCTGTCAATTGCCCACATCCTGGGTCATGGGCCTGCTGTATGTGAAGGGAGCTTAGCAGGGTCAGAAGCAGTGAACACACAGGGCCGCACAGAAAACCTCCGTCATCAGTTAGGACCCAAAGGAAATACACAACAGGCCTGAATTTATATAAGCCATGGTCCATAAAGTAATAGCATCTAAAATTGCTTCTCATTTTTTGGGGAAAAGTGGTATAATCTAGGCTCATTGATTTATACAGGGAACGGGGCTACAGAGAACATGCATAGTTTCCCTGCGATTGCTCACTTAGCTGGAGAGTTGGTCCTAGAACCCAGCCCTGGCTCTTAATTTTATGTTCCTTCCAAGGAACCCTATTTGCCCAGATGGTATGGTGTTAAAACCAAATGAATATGCTCCATTTCATTCCAGCAGGAAGCTCTTTCTTTGCCTGCACTCAGGACATGACTGATTTGGGCTCGAGCATCTCTGAGTGGCTTTCTGACAGGCGAGGGCCCACTGGAGTCTCTGAGGCAGAAGCATCCGTATAGAGGGTGATCACGGCACTGAGATGGTTAACTTGGCTAACAACTGGCATCATTCAGTCGCTGGTGATGATAACCACTACCAGTTGTGGTGACAACAGACACAGACAACCTCAAAGCCCAGCAGGTGCAGCTCAAAGGCACATGAGAGGACCTCCCTCCAGTCGCCCCGAAGGAGTAGAGAGAAGGATGAGGAGAAAGTGGTCACCTTTCTTGGCAACTCACTGTTCCCAAAAAGACAGTGAAAAAGACATTGATTCCATCAGGTTTTGTCCTTTTGTCATATATCATTATTGCATCCAACAGGCTGGTGTTTGGATGAAGATGTCAAACCAGGATGGGAGAAAAGAAAGAAGTCAAGGAAATTGCCCTATGACCCAGGCTGGATGATACAGAATCCATTCCAGTCGCTTTTATGTAATCACTAGCTTTCAAAAAATCCAATAAATCATGGAATGGAACCAATGATTGAAGTTGGAAAATGTTTTCTATTAATTGAAGTTAATTCAATATCAGTCTTGGGCAACAGGATAGAGCAATCAATTCATAGCTACTTAAAAGAGCACAAGATACTGGCAAAGAGTTGATTAGATGACCAATTTAATGTGTGTCTCTGGGGAGGGCAGCCGACACTCCATAATATGAAAGCAGCTCTAAGGAAGCCTTATTTTGTGACATATGACTGATGGGGGTAGGGCTGCATATGTTTTTAGCTATTATCTTAATGACCATAGCAGTCAGAAAAACCAGAATGGGCTTACTATCTTAATGATCATAGCAGTGAAAGAAACCAGAATGGGCTTAACTGGGCAAAGGATTCCGAAGTGAGAGCAGAATTTACAGGGAACACAATGTCAGAGAAATAGTGGGGTGCCCCATCCCTGGATGCAAATGGTGTGGAGGGAGAGGCAGAAACTTCCAGACCGCGGAGGTAATGGTGCTGCTCCCTGACCCTCAGAGCCCCAAGGACTAAGCCACCCTGGGGCCCACTTGAGAACAAGGTCTGGGTTTGATCCCCCTTCCTCAAAAGGACTAGGTGGAAACACCAGGGGCCTCCAAAAAGAACAATACAATGGCTATAAGGGGCTAGCAATCAGGCCTTTGAGAGCATCTGAATGGAAAGAGGCTTGTCCTGCCTGCTGAGTCTGGCGGCGCCTGGAGGCGGCAGGTTGACTGATGGTCGCCCACACAGGACATCTGCCCTGTTCACGGAAAGGTCCTTCCAGGCAGCACATCTCCAGGGCATCCCGAGGGAGCATGGGGCCAGCCTGTCTCAAAACTTCCGATGCCGAGGACAGTGTTTCTCACTGGGTGCTGCTGATGGCTGGAAGGAGTGGATTTCTTATTCCTTAGAGATTTTATTTCATTGAATTCTTCTAAGACAAGTGTTGCATATTCCTCTGTATTTTCATGTCCTCTGTGAGTAAAAGAAGTCAAAACGACTTCCCCCACCCCCGCAGGCGGGGAGACCACGGAAGAAGAAAACCTCAACTCTCTCTCCTCTCCTGAAATGAGAAACGCGCCCCCAGTTCCAGCAGGCTACCACTAGGTGGCGATCACGGTCCAGCCCCGCGACTGGCCATGCGGCCCCAGACGGGAGGGTGTGATGAAGGAGGACCATTCCCTTTCTGGGCTCCAGGACATCTTTTGGGCAGAGGGCAAGCGCCTCTGAACAGACAGCCTCCTGCAGGCGCCTGCGGCCAGCCCACCTCGGTCACGGGGCGGGGTCACGTTCGGGAGGCAGCTCCTTGCTGGGGCTCTGGGATGCTGACGGGCGGGTCCCTCATTTACACTCACATGCGATCACTGGCCCTACTAGGGTGCGGATGGAGCTGACCTGGAGCTGACCTGCCCTTTTTTTCCGGATGTTGCAGCGGAGCCTTCAGCAAGCAGTAACAATTTATTTCTTGGGCTCCAAAATCACTGCCAACGGTGACTGCAGCCATGAAATTAAAAGACTTACTCCTTGGAAGAAAAGCTGTGACCAACCTAGATAGCGTATTGAAAAGCAGAGACATCACTTTGCTGACAAAGGTCCGTATGGTCAAGGCTATAGTTTTGCTAGTAATCACGTAGGGATGTGAGAATTGGACAATAAGGAGGGCTGAGTGCTGAAGAACTGAAGCTTTCAAATTGTGTTTCTGAGGAAGACTCTTGAGAGTCCCTTGGACTGCACGGAGATCAAACCAGTCAACTCTAAAGGAAATCAACTGAATATTCATTGGAAGGACTGAGTCTGAAGTTGAAGCTCCAATACTTAGGTCACCTGATGCGAAGAGCCAACTGATTGGAAAAGACCCTGATTTGGAGAAGATTGAAAGCCAAAGGAGAAGGGAGTAGCAGAAGATGAGATGGTTAGACAGCAACAGTGACTCAATGGACATGAATCTGAGCAAGCTCCAGGAGATAGTGAAAAACAGGCTGGTGTGCTGCAGTCCATGGAATCACATAGAATCCGACATGACTTAGCGACTGGACAACAACCCCTTGGGGAAGCAGCTTTCTGTTCTCTGCTGGTTGTCTGAAGCCAGGCCCATGATAGCCCCTGTGACACGTGTGGCCCCAGATTTGCTGCACAGCTGGTCCTGCCCTCTGACCCACACATGGTTCCTCCAGATCGACCTCAGGCTGCGTCCTAGGCTTTCCAGGTGTTCCGCGGACCAGCTAATGGTAATTCACAGGAGTGAATCTGAAAAAAATACTCTTTTCCTCCAGGCCTCTGGGAAATAGATGGGCTACCATGGAAACCAGCTTTTCAGTGTTGGCATCTGGTCTAGAATTCTTCCCAGAGACAGGCTTCCATCAGACAGGTGACTCCCTGGATGACAGAGCATCCCAGAGACTCGAGATGGGACACCAGGGAATGGACCACCAGGGGTTGCAGGCCAGTGGGCCGGAGAGAGAGGCTGGGCTGGCCCCACACTGTGCGGCGGCCTCGGGTTGGCTAGTTAAAGGCTGTAATCATGGCTGGGTGGCTGCCTTGCTGAAGCTGAGACCTTGTATCTGGAATCGTAATCACTGGCACCATCAGAATTTTAAGCAGTGAAAGTAAAAGGAGAAAATCAACACCATCATTCTCTTTCAAGAGCCTGAAACCTTGAACATCCTCCCTGCTGAGAAGGAAAACTGCTCCCTGCAGACTCTCCCTCCATGGCGTACAGGTGCCCTCAGGAGATGTGCTGTTTTGGAGGCCTGCCTTCCCAGGCTCTGGGGCTGCAGGTGTGGGTGGGTGGCTTAGCTGAGGCCACGGCGACTTCCCTCTAAGAGGAGTCAGATGGAAAATACTGGACAACAGCCACGAGGCATGGGTATGGTTTCCAATTGAAGGGTAAACAGGAATTCCCACATTAGGATCTTCAGCAGGCTGACCTGACAGTGTGGGGGCTAAGGGAGGGTGGCAAGGACAGCTGGTGTAAAGGCAGGGCTTGAGCAGAGCCTGGGCAGGGATTAGGGGAACAGGGGGCCCTTGGGTCTGTTTGAGGAAATTGGACGTCCTCTCACATCCTTCCCTGTGAGAATCTTCTGACTGCCACAGCCATTCTTGCTTTGCCAGGCCCTGAGGTGGAACCGTGAGCATGAGGATCTCAGGGTCTCCAAACTGGAGCGAGAGGAAGGGGCCCAGTGGGGACAGGCCACAGGGGCCAGGGGCCGGAGGACGGTCATCCCTGTGGGTGTCTGGTATCCCTCCTCTCGCGGAAGGGAGAGAGATGATTTCTGGATCACTGAAGTTGAGTCGTCTTAATGAAAGACTCCCAGGAGAGGGAGGCTGATATTCAGTCTCTGGGTAAAGAGGTATTTCGGGTGCTTCTGTAGAGGTAGATGCATGTTAGGTGCAGTAAAATCAGACTATATGAGGCAGGTTTTGTTGGATGAAAAACCCGAATTCTTTGCTGGGCTGATATAGTTGTGCATCTTCTTCTCTTGCTCTGGGAGACCTGAGTAGAGGACAGCTACCTCACCTCGGGGAAATCCTTGGATTTCTAGAGCCTCGGTGTTAGCATCTGTGAAATGGGACTCCTATCACAGCAGCTCGAGAGATCATGAGTATTGAACTAGGGTACCTTCATCGTCAGGCCCAGTGCTGTACTCAGTCCTGTGAAGTATGAAGCCTGTGCTTGTTGAAAGGGTGAGAATGTGGGGATACTTCCCATGGAAGGGTTTGCTGTCTACATCCATGCTATCCAGATGATAGGCGCTAGCCACACGTGGCCACATGCACTGAAATTAATGAGATAAGGTTCGGTTCCATAGTCTCACTAGCTGGCTTTCAAAAGCTCAATGGCTCCATGGGAAAAGAATCTGAAAAAGGATACATGAGTATGTATAACTGAGTCACTTTGTTGTACACCTGAAACTGACACAACACGTAAATCAGCTATACTCCAGTGTAAAATAAAAAAATAAAAAAAGGAGCTCAAAGGCTCACATGCCTGGTGGCTACCGTATGGGACAGTACCCTCCAGGCTGTCTTTGATGGTTGGTTCAGCTGACCTGTCTCTCTTTGTCCCCATGGAATCTCCTTCAGAGTTGGGGGCTGCGTTGAGTGAGGTGGGAGCATTACCTTAGATAAGCTCTTTCTGCTGTGCCAGCACTTAGATTGCCCCTGGGACCCCCCAACTGCCAATGGCCCATCTGGCCCTTCTCCAGGAGGGCAGCACCCCCCCCCCAGGCTGGATTTGGGAACCCCAATAAGTTATCTGGAGCCTGTCTCATGGGGTTCTCCGTGTTCCCTGGCTACCCCCACCCTGGCCAAGCTTCCCTTCTCCTGATGCTCAAAATCCCTGATCTTGAAGCAGAGATGAAGGGTAAAAATAAAGCATTCCTTTTAGGGCAGCTGTTAGATTGATGATGAAATGAATCATTTGCATTTATGTAAATTACATGATTATGTAAATTACAGTAACATTTCAATAAAGGAAACTATCTGGCCTGCTGGAATTTGGAGAAAGCAGACGAGGAGGCCAGAACTCCCACAGTCAGTTGGGGGTGGGTCCTTGGTGTGAGAGAGAGGCAGCCAGAGGGTCTGTGAGGGTCTGCGGACTATCCTTCAGGTAGATGGGCATGTCATCAAGCATGGGACAGCACCCGGGACTCTCTCAGGACCTAAACAGTGACATTTCTCTTGCAGAGAGAGACCCAAGTCATGGAGCAAGCCTCCTGGGCCACATCCGGCTTCTCCAGGGCTGATGCGTCACTGTAGAGTGTCCCGGGGACTAAAGGGGGAACACCTGATGGGGCAGGAGAAGGGCACAGACTCACACTATATGCTTTAGAGGAGAGCAGGCTTAACAATCAGCAGCATATAAATGAGCTAGAAAACAGCAGAGAGCAAAGGTTAGCTGCATCCCAGATACAAATTGAGTCCCTTTCTCTAAGCTACCTGTTTGAAGCTCTGCTGGCTTCAGAACATCCCTGCGGTGTTTTTGCTTTTGGGCCCGGCCTCTGCATCAGCCTCCAGGCCTGCTGTCTCGCAGACCAGGTAGGAGCACCCTATCAGCTCTCCCTGGCCCGGGGGCCCCAAGTCTCCCAGAGAAATCGACTTTCCCAGTGCTTCAGACCCCCAGCCCTCACAGATTGTCCTCAGGGCTGCTCTGCCCGACCAAGTGTATTTAGAAGCAGCATCTGGTCCCTCTTCGTTGGGACTTGCCCTCCAGGTGAATGAGCTCTTCATTGTGGCAACTCAGACGCCCATCTTCTGAACATTTCAGAACCGTAAAAAGGGGAGAGAGTAAAAAAAATACCCAAACAGTTTAATTATTTGGCTGGTTGGTAATTCTTTCTGGGTAGGAGGAGAGCTTCTAAGTAGAGGACTTTTCAGTGCCCATTGCAGGGTCCAATGGAAAAGCTTTGTGCTATGCAAGGAAAACCTCCTGCCCCCCCAAAAGTGACGATGTTACCATGACACTAGGGGAAACATAGAAGGAGATTAGGAAACCTGACAGAAAGATCCAGCATGTGGAGCAGCAGCCTGCGGCTGGTGCATGGAAGGGGTCTGGGGACACTGAGAAACTTCCTTACCTTAGTGCTGCTCTTTGGGTACTAGATTGTTTTGCTCCTCATGTTGTTTTAAAGTCTCATGTGAAAAGGTCTCCAACAACAAACAGCTGTCAGAAATCCAGACCACCAAGCTGCCAAGATGCCTCCCTTTTGTGGCCCTCCAAGTGTATTGGAGATGACACCTGCCCCACAGCAGGTGAACGTCTGAGGAAATAGTATCCGACTGTCTTTGAGACTGAGTTTCTGCAAGTGCAGTGGGTGCTGCTGGCATCAGAATCATGACGGAAGATCCTGGTTAAACTGAAATTTCCTGGGTCCAACCCCAGGCCCTACTGGATTAAAAACCTCTGGGTTGCATGTTTCTGGGAGACACGCGGGGCATGTCAGTGCTGCTGAATTTGGAGAGACACCATTAAAATCAAAAGAACCAGGACCAAACCCCAGGACTCAGATGTTCTCTTTTGCATAATTCCTAACAGTGGAGAAATGTAATTTTTCTCAAGATCATAAAAATCTAGGCTCGACATCAGCTCGGTAAATACCCAGTCCAGTCTCTAAGTCACAGCACAGAATCACTTGCTGTTGACTGTTGCTGTCGGAGGGAACACAGAGCCGCTGGCGCCCCATGCCCAGCTGGCTCAGCTCTGATTCATCCACAGTAGGTAACTGCTTTGCTCAAAGACCCTGCTTGCGTGAGCATCACCCGCAGCCCAAGGAAGCAAAACTGCCTCGCTTCTTCACACGTCATTAGCGACGATGTATTTGTTCTGTCTCAAACATGTCCAGATACACTTAACAGAAGACAGGTTATTTCACACACAGTTCCAGGAGGCATCTGTGTGAAAACAGAGTGAAGCTGATGTCTGCAAGTCTGCTGACAGGCATGGACATCACAGAGCCCTTGCTCCTGGGGTGGGGCTGGGTCTTGGACTTCGCTGTTCTGTCTCATTACCTTGTCTCTAGTGGGAGTGGGTGGGCATCTCTCTAGAATTCAACAAAGTGGAGAACTGCTTTCATTACCACTCCCCCGCCCCATACGTCTCTTGAAAAAAATGACTTTCACAAATCATCCTAAAATCCCTTGACAGCAGAAGAGCTGATCACACGTGATCTATACCAGGTGGGACATTGCAGGACAGAGCCCCTGCAAAGCATGTGTCAGCAGTCTGGGCTGGGTGAACGGAGGCCTCCAGATCTGGGGTGATTGAGCCTTTTCCACAGGTACAGGAACACAGAGCTTATGGCATCCTCAAGTCTGCTGACAGGGAATTCTATAGATGGAGTGTGTGTTCATCCCAATGCGGGCGTCTGAGCCCTGCTCCTCCTTGGGACTGGTCTCCACTCTCCTCATCATCTGTCACCCTTGGAATGTGGGGGCTGTGGTTGTAAACCCAAGATCTTTGCTGTAGGATTTGCTATTGACTGAAGTACCCACCTGATTCCTTGGGCTAAGTCTTGTATTAAATGTCACTTTTGACTTATTTCTTGTGTGTATGTGTTGGTCACTAATCGTGTCCAACTCTGTGACCCCATAGACTGTAGCCCACCAGTCTCCTCTGTTCGTGGAATTCTCCAGGCAAGAACACTGGAGTGGGTTGCCATTCCCTTCTCCAGGGGATCTCCCCGACCCAAGGATTGAACCCCGGTCTCCTGCATTGCAGGCAGCTTCTTTACCGTCTTGAGCCACCAGGGAAGCCCTTATTTGCATAGAGATTTACAATGAAATACTATACAGGTAAATTCTTTGTAAACAGGTAAGTAAATCCTTGAGCGGATCTATTCCTGTCCAGTAGGTGCGAAAACTAAGACCTGGAGAGACTGATTCCTCTAAGGTCATGAGAACGAGTAAGGGAAGGCCCAGGAGTCAGATCTCCCACCCTCATTAGTGTTCTTCCTGCTTTGCCACCCTTCTTTTCCTGGATGGCTCAGCCTGGGTTTGTCCCCACAGGAGACCTGGAGTCACTGCTCATTTAAACAAAGGATTGGCATTTGCAGGTGTTCTTTGTAGAGATGGCATTTGCACGGCTCTGAGGACTGCTGGAGGTGCGGGGTAGGGGGTGGCTGGCAGTGATGCTACTTGTTACATTAATTTGCAATAAGCTCTGTCAGTTTGGGCCAGAGATGCAAAGAGCCTCAAGTAAGATGGGCTACAGGGGGCATGCTGCGGAGATCTTTACAAAATGAAAATCCATAGGACAATGAAGCCAGTGCATATGGTGGGAGTTGGGGGGAGATCCGTTTAATATCCTTCCCAGGCTGGGTGGCTAGGATGGGAGTGGGGGGCTGGAATACAGGAGGGGGTCCAGCCTTGGGGAAATCATTCTAAGTGCAGAGACACTTGGACCTGGGACATGAAGGTGTCTAGTAGAGACACCCACCACTAGGGACACAGTGTGGGGGTGTCCCCGTGAAGGTGGTAATGGCCACGGAGAGTGTGGGACAGGCAGGACGAGGAAGGAGGGTCTGCACCCAGGGACATTGAAGGGAGTTACAGCGGAGCCCGTGAGGAAAGTGAGAGCAAAGGGTCATGAGAATCCTGGGAAAGCAGCAGGGGCTGCTCATGGAGCCGGGTGAGCAGAGCCACCTCCTGTTCTGAGCACCAGAACCACCGGGCTGGGCTCTGGGTGACCAAAGCAGCTGCCTCCATGCACCTGGAAGAGTCCCGAGGTGCCCCGAGCTGAGAAGGGTGATGGGGAGAGGAGAGGCGAGGTGCCCGGCGCACACTTACCACGATGAGCGCGACCACGGACAGCGTGTAGTAAATCGAGTCCCTCAGCAGGCACCAGGAGGAGAGAGCCACGACCTGGGGGGAAGGGGCGGCAGGTGAGAGACAGGACACGGGCCGCGCGAGGGACACAGTCTGACTCTGGCGGCGCGGCCACTGACGACCCAGACACACAGCTCAGCGCTTCCCTCTCTGCCCGAGGCCCAGTCCCTCTGCCAGGCAACAGGGACTCCTTGAAGGTCTTCAGGCATAGTAGTCTGGTCTCTGAAAATTGGGTGCCAAGATGGGTTTGAACCTGCCAGGACTTCATTATGGGGAGACGCCCAGGAGAGAAGACAGGGAGGGAGCTGGGGAAGGCGGAGGGCTGCCCAGCTGTTACTCGGATCTGGCCCCCAAAGGAGAGGCAAGGCTGGGTTAGACGGACTATCTGAGGAAGGTTCTGCAAAACCAGGTTGAAGTCGGTCAGGAATCTGCCAGCCTTGGTGTCCCTGAGGCCAAGGAGAGGGGAGGAGCCTCCTGACTTGCTGTCCCTGCCAGCACTCTGCCCAGAGCTGGGCAAGCCCTTCCGAAGGCCCCCAGCCTCTTCTCTCATCTCTATGATATGCCTGGCCTTGTTGGCACTTGCCCTCTGGATTAATCAGAATTTTTAAAAGATTGATTTGCCTATTGATGTGAAGAAAATGCTATCTTAGAGGTGGTGGCTCTGCTGAGACCAGTGGACACTTCGCTGGAGGCTAAGCAGCCTTGGCCTCCTGTGTGTGGACTTCCTGCAGGAGGAGACCCTTGGTGCCGAAGGAGGGGAGGGGACAGGCAGGGCATCGTGGGAGGAGGGGCCCTATTCTGGAGGAGAGTCCTCTCCCCTGGGTAAGTCCTTCAAAGACTTTCATGGAGGGAAACCTGGTATTTTCCCTCTGGTTTGCAAAGTAGGTCCATTTTTGCAGACTCTTCCCAAAAGGAGCCTGGGAGAGTCGCAGGTCGGGGTGCCTCCTGGGCTGTCATTCTCACTCCCTCCCACCTCCTAGGAAAGGGTCAGCCACCCCACGGCCACAGGACTCATCTAGCTGCCTTTGCCCTTGCCTCATAAGTGGGAAAGGACGCAGCAAATGCCACTCTGAGCTGCGACAAGAACAGGGACCAAAGACAACTGGAAAAGGGATACCAGGGATGCCACCTTTGGTGTCTCTTCCCTCCTGGATGACTGGGTCCAATTGTAAAGAAGAGATCAGGGCAAAGGCAAACCAGAGAGAGTATTCTGGATTCAAATAGCATGAAAGATATGACTTAAATAGAACTAAAAATGAATAACGAGGCCAGCCTCTTTCTGTGAACACACTCTTCCACCACTGTAGGGACACTGAGTATTTTCTGTGCTAATTTTGCCTTCCTTGGTTTGGTATTTGCAGATGCAAGTTACAGATGAAGGGCTTGTCAAGAAAAGGACTTCTGCCACAAGGATCACTTTAGAACACAGAGTCCTCTATAGCCTTTTATCATCTCTCCTTGGACTGTTTACTCTTAGAGCCTGTGGCCACCACTCACCATCTATGGAAGAGGACAAATTGGGCTAGATTATTCATGTTCCATCAGGTCATAAAAGGTGGTGAATATTTTTAAATTTATTATAATTAAGCAAATGGACTTAAAACACATGGCAAATATCAACTCTGAATTTTCTTAAAAATCACTTGGATTTTTAGTTAAAGATAGGTGGACTGAACGTCCCAGTACCACTGCTCTTTCTTGTTATACTATAACAGGGTTACAGCAAAGGGATTTTTTTTTTTTAAACAAGATATAAACATGGGAGAGAAAGAGACTAGAAGAATTGATCAGAGTAAGAAAATTTTGGAGGCTGGAAAGCAGAACAATTGAACAATCAAAATCTTTCAGCTGGCAGTGGACCAAGTTCTAGAAATGGTGGTAAAGGCTGCCTGAAAACGGGATGACTGCAAGACTGTTGAAGAATTTAATCCCACCTAATACTATTACAACAGTGTTAATCAACTATCCTTCAATATAAAATAAAAAATTTTTTAAAAAAGAATTTAACCACAAACTTCTTCCCTCACTTCAAATAGACCAGTGACTGTACATTCCCCACCTTATCTGAGACAGGAGACCTGGCATTTACAGAAGAGAAATTTCAGAAACAGAGGAAATGACTGAATAAATAATTAAAGAAAAGTTCTCAGAAGTTAAGGACTTCCATTTTTCTAACACAAAGGACAAAAAGATGAATACTGGAACCATAAAAGAGTCCTAGAAGTCACTGGAGAGAAAAACAGGATTATATACAAAGAATAATATTTTATATTTTATTTCTCAGCCAGAGAGCTGAAAGCTAGAAGACAATGGAGGAGTGACTTCGAAATTAGAAAGGAAAATGATTTCAACCTGGAATTCTACACCTGACCAAATTGTTCATTAAGTGTGACAGGAGAATAAAAATAAAAGCTTAATTATCTCAAAAAATTTACTTCCCACATATCCTTTTCCAAAAAGCTACTAGAAGATTGCTCCACTAAAATCAGGGAGTAAAACACTTGTTATATAGAATGTTGGCAAAATAAATCCTTACATCGAACAACAAAAATCTATTGTAATAAGAAAAGATCTCCAGAATGGTGGTGAAAGAAGATTCTAGAGAGATGGTAAGAGGAGATTCTAAAAGAAACTTTTGCAGCTGGTCAGAAGACACAGAAGAAATGATGCCAGGAGGACAAAATCGATGAAATATAATTCCAAACCCATAGAAAGGAGACTGGAAAGCTCTGGGGACAGAGCATTGAAACCTAAGCAAATGAACAACAACAAAAAAGACAATCATAAACCATGGGGAAACACAGAGTTGTACAGGAAAGGAAGATGAATCATTACCTAGTTATTGGCTGAGCTATAAACAGTGTCACACAGTCATGATAAATGCAGTGTAGACTGCTGTCTAAGTAAATGGTGTAAGAGTTTGGTGAGGATGCAAGGCTGGGCATTCGGGGTGAGCAGGGCTGAAAAAGACCTTAACCCTCCTCCTCCACACTGTAAAGCCTTGGAGAATACTTGAAACTGAAAGGTCAAGTCACTGCTATAGAAGCACATGATCTGGAGGCATGCAGTGAGTATCAGGAACAACCAAACTAGTGGAAAGTAGTTGCCTCTGAAGGGTGGCAGGTTGGCGCTGGTGGGATAGGAGGGTGGCTGTCTTTCATAATAAGCTGCCTGGAACTGGTTGCCTCTTTAAGCTTTGCGTGTATAACTTTAATGAAAATAAAAACTAAATTAAAAATGAGAAAGTGTAATGCAAGTTATCCATTTATATTTACTGATATAAGAAATACACATCACACTAGGTCTAAATGTCAGATTTGCCTGGATACTGATTTACTGTATCTCTTTATAAATAGAGTACTTTTTAATGTATAGACCATCCCCACATTTCAATTATAGATTCAAAGCCTACAATTACCAAAACTAATCTTAGTTATTAAATTAAAAAGATGAAATATAGTTGACTTATAATGTTTCAGGTATAAAGTGATTCAGTTATATATATATATATATATTATATGTATATCTATTCTTTTCCATATTCTTTTTCATTAGAGGTTATTACAAGATATTAAATATAGTTCCCTGTGCTACACAGTAGGCCCTTGTTACCTGTTACATACAATTAGTGTATTTATGTTAATCTCAAATTCCTAATTTATCCTTCCCCCACCCCTTTTCCACTTTGGTAACCGTAGGTTTGTTTTCTATGTCTGTGAGTCTATTTTGGCAAAACCAATTTTTTCTAGAAGCAATGAACTGGAGGACAAGAAAGGAGTCAAACCAGAGAAGAATAAGTCTCCACACTCTCGAAGGTATTAAAGCATCCTTGATTCTGCAGCATCTATAGTGAAAGCTGTGACCACTACTCACCACAATAAAAAGACTTCCTGACACTTCCTGCAAACAAGAGGACCCAGAAGGGTTATTTCATTCAGTCCTACAGCATCCAACAAGGTGGGCACTGTCACCCTCACTGGCTGGTAGTGTGGGCATGGCCAAGTTGAGGTCATGAACACAATGGTACAACTAGCAGTGGGATGAGGACTAGGATCTGAACCCAGAAGCTTGGGTCTCATGGTCCTGACCCCACACACTGTGCTACTATGCGTAAACAGAGGCAGAGTGAAAGCAGACACCCATCTGTGACATCCCCCATGGAGGTCTTCTTTTCTCCATGACCAAATGCAGGGGCATTTGGTGAGAGACAAAAAAGCAGTGACCACAGCTTCCAGGTGGCTCAGATGGTAAAGAATCTGTCCACAGTCTCTGAGTCAGGAATATCCCTTAGAGGAAGAAGTGGCTACCCACTCCAGTGTTCTTGCCTGGAGAATTCCATGGACAGAGAGGAGCCTGGTGGGTTACAGTCCGTCCATGGACAGAGAGGAGCCTGGTGGGTTATAGTCCGTAGGGGTGCAAAGAGTTGGGCACGAATGAATGACTAAAACAATTCCACACACTCACAGCTCAATATAAAAATACACTCTTTTAAAGAGAGCCCGGGCAAGAAATCAAGGCAGAAGGAGTGACCACAGAGACTACAGACAGGGATATGGACATGCTATGGACATATCCCAGGAGGGAAAGAGAAAACTCGGAAACTATTCCATTTAGGTGGTTATTGTTTTTCTTCTTTTTTTTTTTTAAACACCAATACAGCTCATTGTTTGGTGATGGAAGTGTTTGCTTTTTCACAGACATGGATACACTGATGTTTGGGTACAAGCCACTCTCTCTGCTTCTCGGTGGAGGGGCTTTTATCTCTAGACAGAGGCCAGCAACCATCTGACTTAGGCCCCGAATGCACCCGTGGGCACAGAGGGATCTGTCAGCACCCTTGCATCAACATAGGAGGCTCTTTGGCATTTGCTGGCAGACAGCATCTTCCGGAGTACTCTGCAGAGTGAACACGGGTCCCCAGAGAGAGTCAGCAGTGAGTGACGCTGCCCTTGACCTCATTAATCAATAATACAGACGGCAAGGACTGTAAGAGGTCACCACTGGCAGACTCCTCTGTAAATTAAAGCCAGAGGCTC